GAATTTTAGCATATTGATATGTTGGGGGTTATTGGGAAATTTTGAGAAAGTTTGGGCCTTTGTGTAATTTTACAAAAGTTGGGGTTTTAAATATATAAACCTATATGCATGTTAAGCATAGAGAAATGAGATTAATGTTGGGACATTGATGGGAATGGAACCTTAGGGTTGTTTTGTGAATTATGGTAATTTGCCCTAATTGGTTTAATTAATTAATGCATATAATTAATTGAAGAAAGCGAGGAATTGAATTGAGAATGTTGAAATTGGGAAGGTATGGGATTAAAGAGTGTAGACAAATCATTTTTTGTTCACGTAATTGGAATGTTGGTATATTATCCATTTGTGCATTTATTTCCTGTTTAGAAATAATTGCTTTGGGCTACCGGTGGAGGGTAGTGTTGATTGTTGTAGACAATGCATGATGATTAGGCAAACTAAAACTAATCAATCGGATGTGTCATAGAGTATGACGGTTGGTAGAATACATTAACTTTATGTATTGAGTGATTGTGTATATGACCAATGTGTTTATATGCATTATGTGTAGATGGTTGGTAGAATACATTAACTTTATGTATTGATCGGTTGTGTATATGATTCTGTGTTTATATACGTTGCATTGTATAGAGGAGGAGATGGGGGATGTACTCCGCGGTTTGGGGAAAGATGGGGGATGTACCTCTAAACCGGATAGGATTGGGAGGAGATGGGGGATGAACTCCGTAGATACAGCTCATATGCTTGTCTAGAGAAGTGAAGATACAGCTCATATGCTTATCTTTGTGAAGTATAGATACAGCTCATATGCTTGTCTAGTGAAGTGTAGATATAGCTCATATGCTTATCTAGTGAAGTGTGGATACAGCTTATATGCTTATCTGTTGACGTGTAACATGCTTATCTGTTGTGGTATTGATATAGCTCATATGCTTATCTATTGGAATGTTGATATAGCTCACATGCTTATCTATTGTAGGAATGATATAGCTCATAAGCTTATCTATTGAAAAGTTTGTTTGATTTGATATAGCACTAAAATTTATATCACCATCAAATGTTTTGGCCAGAGTACTGAGCCTTGCTTTCAAACTCAAAGTCGAACAAGAAATGGAAAGTGAATTGTATTATAAACTTGACTATCATGGAATTTTAATGGGATATAAGTGGAAGTGTAAGTATTGACCATCTATCAGTTGCTAATCTTTTAATCATTGTTCATAGTTGGTTTAGTATATCTCTGCTGGGCTGTGGCTCACCCTATATGGGAACATCATTTTCAGGTACAGGTAGCATGCCACCTCTGAGGACATAGCTTGGGAGGCTAGGGGCAAACATACTTTTGTTGGCTTATTTTTTTTCTTTGATGTATTACATGTAAATTCAAGCCAAGGGCTTAATGTGTAACCGAGTCAATACTCTCTTTTGTAACCAAGTGTTAACTTGGAAAGCTGTAAGCCCGTAGGGCATTTACTTTTGTTGTTAACGTGTAATACTTTTGTAATGAAGTACTCTGATAAATTGAGTAAATGTGGATCTTTTGTATATAAATGTATGTTTATATTGATGGGTTTAATGTTATTTTTTTTGAGGGCGTGACAATCAAAATAAATCAATTCAAAATGATAATAATTTCACTGCTGCAGAAATCAATTGTGATAAATTAATTCAAAATGACAACAATTTCATTGCAATATAAAACTTCACACATAAGTCGAAACATTAAATTATAGTTTTGGCGAACTTCATAATTAAAGTTTAAATAGCAAATTTATAATATAAAAATATTGTGTATAACATAAGCAAAGATATTCATGCCAAAATAACACATGTATAAGTGAGTTAGAATGGGACAACCTTCAATAAAAGAATATGTCTAAATTAGTATTATAACTGAGTAACCTTTTCACTTTATCAAATTTCAAAGCTTCAAGAAATGGTGAATGAACATTTTGGTACAAAAGAGTAATCATCCTAGCTTTTAAATCATTCAATTTAGAATGAAAGAGCCAACCATCAACACACATAGAAAAACAACACAATCCCGACTTTTCTAAAGGTGGATTAGCCACCTACAACAAAATCACTCTAATGCTTGAAGTCACTTTAAAAAATCAATTAAAAGAAATCCTAATAGAAAAAATCACACCAAAATACCTTTGAGAAACAGAAAAACCAACAACTATGAATTAATAGGAATTTAACATAAAAAAAATCTATATAACAAGGGAAGGGTTTTTTTGAAACTTGATGGGACTTTTGTCTAGGTGGATGGTTAAGATTGTTTGGTTTTAAGAATGGAGGGCTGTGATTATTTGGATAAACTTGATGGGACTTTTGTCTATGTGGATGGCTAAGATTGTTTGGTTTTAAGAATGGAAGGCCGAGATTATTAGATTACTTGATAGAGGACTTTTGTCTTGTCTCTCACTCTTACGGAGCCTCTCACTTTTCCCACCTAAGCTTCTCTCTCTCTCTCTCTCTCTCTCTCTCTCTCACACACACACACAATTCCAGAGGTTTCAAATTTTGAACCTCATTCTCAATCGAGCAGCCACTGCCTCAGCCATTAGGAGCCCCCTTCGTCTCACCACCATTGCGACCACTCCCTACTCGCCATTGTTGGTGTGTGGAAGAGCGATTTTGGGGGAAAATTTCTTTATATTGATCTTATTTTGGTCTCATGTTTATTTTATTTTATTTTTCCTTTTTTTTATTTAACTGCAGTACGTTGATGGGTGTGGTGTGATTTTGGCACAATTAGGTGGATTGGCCCCTCTTCTCTCTCCTCTTATTCTATAACAGGTAAGCGATTCACATCTTAGGTTGTTTTGTTTTGTTTTTGTTTTTCCATCCCCCAAACCTCTGTTAATAGTCCTTTTTTATGAATGTGATTGTATTATGGTTTAAAAAATAAATAAATAAATAAAGAGCAGAAATTGTTTGATCAAACAAGTGAAAAAGTGTTGGGGATATTTTCATCATTTTCATTATAAGAAATAGTGTAATGTATATTGTGTTTCTTATTTTTTATTATGTGTTGTATTTGATTGGGTTTGTGTATAGTGATTGGATATTTAAAATCCTGAAATTCATTTTTAGATTTTCTTTTTTTAGTTTTACTTTGTTTCAATTGGATATTTAAAAGTTGATCGCTTCATTTGGTTTTAACTGGTCAATTAACTTATGGATTGAGCACTACTAACCTGCTTCATTTGGCTTTATTGGCTTCATATTGTGTATAGTTGCTTGCTTCAATTGGTCTATTACCCTAAAATTCATTTTTAGTTTTTTCTTTTTTTAGTTATACTTTGTTTCAATTGGATATTTAAAAGTTGCTTGCTTCATTTGGTTTCAATTGGTCAATTAACTTATGGATTGAGCACTACTAACCTGCTTCATTTGACTTCATTTGCTTCGTATTGTGTATAGTTGCTTGCTTCAATTACTCTATTATCCTGAAATTCAATAAACCAATGTAAATTCAATCAACCAAATATGAATTCAATATCTATAAAATTTTGGTTTGTTGAGTTATTGATATTGTTTAATTGGCATGAGTTATTGATATAAAAGGTAAATTCATGAGTTAATTTGTTTTAGACTTATAGAAGTTGAGTCAGAGTTTTTATTTATTAAGATTTCAAATTCATGGCTCCTTTGCATTAATGATAGATATTTGATTTTTTTTTTCCAATTAATTGGTTTTTAATTTCATAACGTAATTATTTGGATTTGTAGTATCATCTTGTTCAATGTTTGATTAATCTCATTAACAAAAGTCTTCTTATTTATATAGAATCCTCTAATTGGTTGTTCATAATTTCATCATTATCAGTTGGTTTAACAAAGAAGCCTTCTATGGTAGGATAAACGGAGTGAGATCAACCGACAACGCCAAGCTAGGATAAGTTCTATGGTAATTTCTTTTTTTTTTTACTTTTTTTCCCAACCATACGCACTATCGATCTAATTTGTCATTACATACATAAATGAGGGATTTTAATATCTAATTTGTTCATTGTATTTCATGTGATATTTGTTATTTCTTTATGATTTTGGGGTTCTCATAGAGAGAGTTGTACTAAATATAATACTTACTTGGCCAATTGGCACCTTGACAATAGGATGGCGTCACTTGCTTGAAGTCACTTGCTTTTGTTGAGTTGATTTTTGGATTCTATGATTTTGTCAAAGATCATTTACTCCACTCAGTAACCTAATAGATGCCAAGTAGGTAGATCAAGTACTACTAGGAGTACATTCTCCTTATTGTTCCTTTGCTATAGCATCACTCGTAAATTGAGACACTCTTCCTAAAAGTTGGTTAATGTTTTAAACTTGGTCCCTAAACATAATGATAGTCTCTTTGTTCTTAGTGCTGTTTATTCTAATTTTATATTTCTATTATGGTTTCAGAACATAACATTGCCAATGGGTTTAGTGGCAGAACCAATATTTTGGCTTGGCGGCAACATTAAGCAAAAAGCTAAGTTTATATTGCCAGTGGGTGTAGTGCCAGAAACAATTTTATGGCTTGCCAAAGTTTTGTCCAGTTTCACAGGCTTATTCCTCACTTAGTTGTGTAGTATAGATTATAATTTACAAAAATCACATATCTATCCTTACGGTTAATTTTACATTTGATCAATTAACTAGTTTAAGGATTCCGAGTGGCAAAGAATATACTAGGGGAACTATCTATGTATTAATTTGGAGAACACCGGCATAATAGATTGCGCCCGAACAGGTACTCAGCTGGAGAACACCGGCAGAATAGATTGCGCCCGAACAACCTGTCACAGAAAGAAAAGACTCCAGCGGTGGTTCTTCCACCCGAGGCACTCCGACGATCAAGTCAATACTCAGTTATCTCTCAAAGACAATAATTATAATTAGTGCTTAACTCACTAGCCAGAATACAAAAAACGTACCTTAAACCCACGAGGGTGCCTTACTTTTATAGCCATCATTGACCTGATCCCTGTAGAAGCCTAGCTTTAATGGACTCTGGCTCAATGCTTATCCTGGACTCTCAAATAGATAGAGATAAACTCCCTAAGAGCTTTATCTTTATCGAGACTAAGGTCCTTCCCCATTCTAGGACTCTTATAACTTATCCGTTTATCCCAGACTCCAGCATCCCCACAGATAACCTCAGCCTAGCCGAGATCATCTCAGCGTCATGACCAAGACACGTGGCACCTCGGTTGGCACTTCGATGCCACCTTGGCCACGTGTTGTCATTAAAAAAAATGTCCCCACAACTGCATAGAGTGTGGACTTAGGTTCTCTCTTTACATCCTTTTCCGAGAAGTCCTTCACTGCTATAAACTCAACCCAATGCAATTAGCCATTAACTCTTACAGAGTCATCAACGGTATTATTGCCTTAGCTAGCCGAGAAAATGTTAGGGTAACTCTAGCCGACATCCAGTATTGCTACACCATGTGTGGCCTTAAGTTAGAAAATGGCTACATTTATTACCTTAAGCTGAGGTCGATGGAATACAAACTCATCGCCGACCTCCCTGATTCCAACAAGGGTGCCGGAGACGATTATTTCATCATCTCGGGCAACTGGGAGCTCCCCCCAGATAATGACTTTCACCTCTATCCCCTAAGCCGAACAGTTTTCAGAGAGGGAGATGGTAAGAGCCAAGTGTCACTTTTACTTGCTTTTAAGTCTTTTTTACTTTGACATTTTTGTATGCTCTAACGTCTATTTTTGTTATTTTGCAGTTCTTCCTCAACCACCCAAGGACTTCCGTAAGTCCTTCTATCCCAGCAAGGATTTCAAGAAGTTGTTGGGTTTGCCAGTTGACCAGCGGAAAGCACCTCTGTTGCTCAACTACATCCCAACCTACAAGTCCATACTTCACGACGTCCCAAGAAAAAGCAAGTCTCCTTCTTCAGTAACAACTCCTCAAGCTGAATCATCAAGGCCTGACAAATGATCAACATCTAGTCCTGTGGAGCAATCATCAACCTTTGCTTCACAACTGATCCCACCTTCTCAACGCCAACGCTGACGTCAAGCTCCATTGTTCGCACCGACAGGCAGGACTCGAAGCCGAAGATGCGGAAGTGCCAAGGTGTCCTCATACGATCTAGCCAACCCCCCAACTGCACTTCCAGCGATCCATTTCGGCACTAAGGTCACCGTTGCCGTAGCCGCCGACGAGATGGGTCATAAAAAGGCTGTAGCAGACGACCTTCTAGCCGACATTCCCAGCATCATCACCGTGCAATCTTCACCATCGCAATCTCAGCCAAAGCCAAAGCCAAAAAGGCTGAAAAAAACCCAAGCAAAGGCAACGGTAACTCAGATCGATTCTGAGGATACCTTGCCGATCTCAAAGATGACCGAGGCGGAAAAAAGTGCCTCTGCCGCTGAAAAGAGGCCTGCAGAGGCTGCTCCTTCTGAATCCACCAGGTCAAAGAAGCCGAGGTCAGAGTCTGCCACAACCTCTGGGTCTCTGAAATCATATGCCCCCTGGGCCCCTCCAATCACCATTGAGGACAAGCCAGTCAGAGTCGGCAACAGCGTGACTGACATCAAAGTCGGCGTTGCCCTCTCTACTGCCTTGCTCCTTCCAAAAGACCTCAAACGTAACGCCGAGGTCAGTGAAAATGAAAACTTCGCTCTAATGTTGCAGCACTCCATAAAAGTAAGCCCCTAACATTTGGTACTTTTCATTCTCTGTTTTTCCATACTTAGAGTTTTATTAACTTTTGTTCTGTCCATTTCTTCTAGGCGATCCAGCACGCCCACTCCTTCGCGATGTAGGCTTTCGACATTAAGGAGTTTAGTCAACAAGACCAAGGAGGCTGCTGGCTTGCTGAAGACCGTTAATAAGGCTGAGGCCAAGATGAAAACTTTGATATATCAGGCCAATGCAGCTAGGAAAGCTTAAGACGAGGCCGAGGAGAGGGCATGCGCTACTGAGGCCATTGCTAAGGTCCTTGAAGCTGAGAAGAAAGAGGCCGAAGCAAAGACCGCCGAAGCCCAAGCCGAGCTCATCGCTACCTTGGCCACAAAGGACGCCGAGATCAAAGCGGGGGACGAGAAAGCATACGCCGAGGGGACAGCCGACGTCCGCGAGGACTATAAAAAACAAGTCAGAGAGGCATGCAACAAGGGCTTCACCCTTAGTTGGATGGTCGCTTTGAAAGAGTTGGCTATCCCTAAGGACTCTCCTCTAAGAGACATAGACCGACTTGTGGTGCCATTCCCACCCACTTCAAGCCAGTCTAAGGCAAAGGCTGTAGAAGAAGAAGAAGAGGAAGAATGAGAGAAAACTGAATATGAAGAGGCTGAGGTGGTCGTTGCTAAAAATCCTGCTCAAACCAAGTCCCTAACTCTGAATGAGCAAGTAGACTTGACTCAGGATGATGAGGACAAGGTCTCAAAAGGTGCCTCCCTCCAGAAGACAACATCCGAGGTGCCAATCGTCGAGAGGAGCATTAATCAGACTCTACGAGAGATCGACACCGAGCTCGAGGCTGAGAAGACTGCCGAAGAGATTTTCCAGTTGTCTTCTGGGGCCGAGACGCATCCCGCCATCGACGCCGAGTAGTCTTGCTATTGACTTTTTCTTTGTACTTAGTAATTTCCTGAACAATGTTTTCAGTTTCCATATTTGGCCGACGTGCCACTTTTGTAATCTGAACAAGTAGTCTCTTTGTAGGCCAAAGTGCCTTTTTTCTTCTCTTAATGCAAGCACAACTTCTTCTTTCAAGTGTTTATTGTTTGTAAGCTCTACTGCTTCCATACTTAGAATAATTTGTTTGTCTTCAAAGTACACCTTAACTTTGCAATCTCCTCGGGGTGAAATACCTCGGTTATACCCACTAACGGTTTATCTCGGCCTTGGCTTAACACTTGAAAATATTATAAAAAATATTTTCAAAAGTGTTATTTACACATTGCCACTTCACTCTTACTTATCAAGACTTTTGTCTTCCATTACCTTCCAAGTCTTGGCAACATGGTAATCTCGGCAACATGGTAATCTCGGCAAGTACGTAGATACTTCTTTTAACATAACCTTGGCTTAACTTCAACTTGTAAATTTTTCTTAAAATTTCAACAAGTGTTAAACCAATTTTCTCTTGTAAATTCCAACTGCCAAGTATTATTCTCCAACTCTCTGCCCGCTAATGTGAACTTAAGTTTCACTTATGTTCACATTAAGTATGTAAGTATGATCTTGTCGCCGAGATCAAATTCAAACAGAGACTGGCCGAGGTTATCAAACTCAATCTCTGTTAATCTAACTGATATGTATTTAGTGTCATTCAAAGTTTTCATTCTGTCGACACAGCAAATCTAGGTTAATTCAACTTGTTTATATGCAAGTATAATTCAACTCTGCCATATAATAAGTCTAAGTTATTTATCATGTTTCAATCAGAAACATCGCCAACTTAGTTCAACTCTATTATATGCAAGTATAATTCAACTCTGCCATATAATAAGTCTAAGTTATTTGTCATGTTTCGATCAGAAACATCGCTAACTTAGTTTAACTCTATTATATGCAAGTATAATTCAACTCTGTCATATAATAAGTCTAAATTATTCGTCATGTTTCAATCAAGAACATCGCTAAGTGACTGGTCAATCGTTTTACACAAGTTTGAAATCAAAAAATCGAGCTAAAATTTTATTAATTACTTCGGCTAATAACAAAAGATTTTTAAAGAAAATATCAAATGAAATCTTAATGATAGAAGAACTTTAGGTTGCAAGTATTCTAGGGTCTTGGCAATTCTTTGCCTTCACTGTCTTCAAGCCGATATGCCCTATTGCCCAGGACCGAGATGATTCTATAAGGTCCCTCCCAGTTTGGGCCAAGCTTGCCCTCTCTGGGATCCTTTTTGTTGCCGACGACCTTTCTCGGGACGAGGTTTCCAACTTGAAACTCTCGTGGGTTGACCTTTTTGTTGTACGCCTTGGCAAGCTGCTGCTGGTATGCCCCAAGCTGAATTGCTGTCTTCTCCCTTCTTTCTTCCAGTAGGTCCAGATCTCGGGCTAAAAATGCATCATTAGTCCCATTCTCCACTCCCTGGGTTCCGATCCCTGGGATGCCGACCTCTAATGGGATTACTGCCTCTGTGCCATAAGCCATAGCAAATGGAGATTCTCCAGTTGATCTTCTCGGCGTAGTCCAATATGCCCAGAGTACACTGGGTAACTCATCCACCCACTTACCCTTTGCTGCTTCCAGCCTCTTCTTAATCCCATCCAAGATAACCTTATTGGATGCTTTTGCTTGACCATTACTCTGAGGGAAGCTTAGAGTAGAGTTATAATTCTTGATCTTGTACTTTGCACAGAAGCTCTTAATTAGCTTACTATCAAACTGCGTACCATTGTCTGTTATTATTGTACTTGGGATCCCAAACTTGGTGATGATGTTCTTCCATATGAAGTTTTTTACATCAATGTCCCAAATCTTTGCGAGGGGTTTAGCTTCAACCCACTTGGTAAAGTAATCTGTTGCCACTAGTAGGAACTTCCTTTGTCTAGTTACTTGAGGCAGTTGTCCAACAAGGTCCATGCCCCATTGGGCAAATGGACAAGGGCTGGACACTAGGTTCAGAGCCGCTGTTGGTTGGTGTATCAAAGGTGCAAACCTTTGACACTTCTCGCACTTTCTGACATAAGCTTCAGCATCTTCTACATGTAAGGCCACTAGTATCCCTGAGTGATGGCCTTATGAGCAAGTGTCCTGCCCCCAGTATGACTTTCACATACTCCTTCATGTATTTCATACAAGAAGTCTTCAACTTGTGAAGGATGGACACACGTCAAAAGGGGACTAGTAAAAGATTTTTTGTAGAGATGCCCTTCTGCTGTCAGACTGAATCTTGCCGACTTTAATCTGATCTTGTGTGCTTCTTTATGATCATCTAGCAGTTTCCACTCTTTAAGGAATGTTATTATTGCATTCGTCCAGCTTGGTCTCATCTCCACACACATTGCTTCATGCTCTGTGTTCAGTGGTTCTACACTTGGACCTGACAAGTAATCAACCATTATTGTCCTTGCCTTTCCTGGTTTCATTGCATTAGCCAGGTTGGCCAAGGCATCAGCATGGCTGTTGTTATTTCGGTTGACTTGCTATAGTCGGCAATTTTGGAACAATGCCATCAGTCTGCCCACCTCATTTACATAGGCCATCATCCTTTCATCTCGGGCTGCATATTCGCCTGTTGTCTAGTTAATGATAAGCTGGGAGTCACAAAAGACCATTACCTCGTCGGCTTCCATTGTTGCTGCCAATTTTAATCCTGCAATCAGTGCTTCATATTCTGCTTCGTTGTTTGAGGCCTTAAACCCCAAATGAATGGATTGTTCCAGTATCTGCCATCCGGTGATACTAGCACTACTCCTTCCCCCGCTCCTTGTTGGTTTGAACTTCCATCAACAAACAGGCAGAAGGAGTCGCCGACGTAAATATTGCAAGGCTTGAGTTTCTCTTCTTTCCTCTGTTTTGCTATCCCCAGCTGGGTTTCTCTTTGTTCACTTGGACATCGTGTACCTTGGCTCAATGGAGCCCGATGTATGATGGCGCCTGGTGTGAACTCGGCCACGAAGTCGGCCAAAACTTGGCCTTTGATTGTTGTTATGGGTCTGGATTCCAGGTCATATTGGCCTAGCACCACTGCCCATCTGGCTATCTTGCCTGTCAGATCTCCTTGCTATAACAGGGACTTCAGAGGATGCTCAATTAACACCACAATCTTGTGGGCTTGAAAGTAATGATTCAGCTTCTTGGAGGCCATTACCAAAGCTAGTGTTAGCTTTTCCAAAGGTAGATATATGGTCTCTGCATCTGCTAGGATTTTACTCACGTAGTAAACTGCCCTCTATTCTCCCTTATCTTCCATGATTATTACTGCACTTACTGCATGCTCTGAGACCGCCAAGTATAAGAACAGCTCCTCTCCAGGTACTGGATTTGAGAGAACTGGAGCTGTGGTTAAGTATTTCTTCAAGTCGGCCAAGGCGACTTCGCACTCCTCTGTCCATAAGAAGTCTGTGGCTTTCTTTACTAAACTGAAGAAAGGTTTGCATTTATCAGAACTTCTGCTTATGAATCTGTTTAGGGCTGTAACCCTTCTAGTCAGCATCTGCACTTGTTTTGCCGACGTTGGGCTCTCTAACTTTAGAATGGCCTTGATTTGATCCGGACTTGCCTCAATACCCTTTCTAGTGACCAAGTATCCCAGGAACTTCCCTGACCCAACTCCAAATGCGCACTTTGATGCATTGAGTCGGAGCCAAAATGTCTTTAAAATGTCAAAGACTGTCTTCAGGTCGGCCAGATGATCTTCAGGTTCCTTGGTTTTCACGACCGTGTCATCAATGTATACCTCTACTGTTTTTCCTATTAGATGTCCGAACATCTTAGTCACCAATCTCTGGTAAGTTGCTCCTGCATTTTTTAACCCAAAAGGCATCACTTTGTAGCAATACAGCCCTTTGGGGGTGATAAATGCAATCTTCTTCTCATCTGAGGGGTACATGGCTATCTGATAGTACCCTCTATAAGCGTCCAGGAAGCTCATCCTTCCATGCCCTGAAGTGGCATCCACCAATTGATCAATCTTGGGCAATGGGAAACTGTCTTTGGGACAAACCTTGTTCAGGCTGGTGAAGTCCGCGCAGACCTTCCACTTCCCATTCTTTTTCTTCACAACAACCGTGTTTGATAACGATGTTGGGTAGTTTACCTCTCAAATGGCTCTGGCCTCCAGAAGTTTATCCACTTCCTCTTTTACTGCCTCAACATGCATTAACGTCGGCCTCCTTGTTCGCTGGATGATAGGTTTTGCTGACCTGTCTACATTCAGTTTATGGCAAGTGACCTCAGGGTCAATACCAGACATTTCGTACAGTGTCCAAGCAAACACCTCAAGGTTTGCTCTCAAGAATGCTTATAATTCCTTTTCCTCTTCCCCGGCCAATCCTGAGCTGAGAAGGAAGAAGCGTTCTTCATCCCCTTGTTAGACTAAGATCTTCTTTAGGGCTTCCTCACTTTTCTCAGCTGGTTCTTTGCCGACGTCCTCAAGGACTTCCATGTCCTCATCCTCAATCTCAGCTGCTTCTGCTTCTCGTGTATTGCAAGTGGATTTCATTGCTGCCATGGAGCAATTCTTTGTCTGCACCTGATCTCCTCTAACCTCCTCAATTCCATGTTATGTTGGGAACCGCAACAACTAGTGCAAAATTGAGGGAACAGCCCCCATTGCATGCAGCCATGGCCTTCCCAAGATAGCATTGTAAGGGGAGGGAGTGCCAATTATTGTGAACTCAGTTTTTACCTTCTTAGTGCCAGTCTGCACCTCCAAACTTACTGCTCCTAGAGGCCACGTCGGCGTTCCATTGAACCCGACCATTAGACCATTGGATTATTTCAGATCATCTTGGTGAAGGCCAAGCTCCTTGTAACACCTGACATACATGATGTCACAAGAGCTGCCTTAGTTGATCAGAATTCGTTTTACCTGGCACTCTCCAATCTGGAGGGATATTACCAAGGCATCGTTGTGTGGATGTTACACCATCTCTAGGTCGTCTTCCGTAAAGGACACCACTAGTCCCTAGCACCCGTCTGCCCTAGGTCTCTTCTGCCGGACCTGATACACATGTTGTAAGTGTTTTACCTTTTGAGTTTCCCCATGTATCTCATTCTCATTGACCTTCGAATGAATCACATTGATCACTCGAGGTTCGCCTGCTTACGGTTGCGGTATTGGTAGAGGTAGTGCTGCCAGTGCCTGAGGTAGTCTTGTTTGCTCTTCCCTTGTCCTGGTTTCATCTACCAGGTCCCTTAGATGACCTTGTCTTACCAAGTCTTCCAGATGTGCCTTTAAGGCTCTGCACCCTTGAGTTAGATGTCTATCCTCGTTGTGGTAGGCACAGTGTTTCCCAAGACTTCTTCCCATAAATTCACCAGGAAGCTTCTCTGGTGCTCTATAATAGGGCTGATTCTGGATTCTTTCCAAGACTTTGTAAACCGGAATTCGGAATATGGTTGTGACTGCCTGTGCAGCCCTTAGTTCTGTCTCTTGCTTGTTGTATCCAGTGTTACCTCAGCCTCGCTTCGGTGAGCCATTTCTCTTCTCTTGTTTCGATACCTTTGTCCCTAGCGTGTCTTCCTCGGCTCTCGCATACTTCTCTATCCTGGCCATAAGTTCCTTTATACTCTTTGGTAGTGTCTTTGCCAGTGATTTTTGAAGCAGACAATCATCTTTCAGGCCGTTCTTAAAAGACACTACCGCCATCTCTTGGTTGCATCCTGGTATCTGGTTGAATA